TCGTCCAATAGATGCGCTCCCCAACCCTGGGGGGAGGCATCTGTTACCAGAGTCATACCTGCGGCGAGCGGGTCTAAGGGGGCCCCTCTGCCCGAGGTTGGCCAGTGATGACCACCAGGGCAGGGTTTCCTTCACTTGGTCTGAGATCGAAACCCGCCTATCTAGTTCCCATAGGAGAGCTCGGCGTTATAACAAGCGTTATACTGGGCGGCTGCGTAGTGGGGCCTGGGGAACGACCCTTCGAACAGAGGTCATCATTCCGATGATCCGCATTAGTTCACGGAGGGACACCGAGGGAACGCTGACTAGGCATTCGGCTAGGCTGCTTAGCGCTAAGCAATACGCTTGAAATAGCTAAGCCAAGCTTACCTCTGTGTCAAAACCCCATGCCCAGGGACAGCAACTGCGCGTTGGCTCGAGGTGGGACTTGTCGATTTACTAACGAGCCCTTGCCCCTTGCCCGGATTGTTGGTAACCAGTAGTCTGGGTACGGATTGAGGTGTACCGACATCTGGTGAAGCAGCAGCACTACCTGTTTCATCACTCTGGTGAACACGTAGGGCGCTGTGCCTAACCTGAACGGGGGGGGGGGGGCACCGAAATTCGAATACTTGGCCCAGCTGGGCGATTCGAAGGAGATGGCAACTCGCTAGGTGCATCGGTACGTGCAGGTAGGCCCCGCTTAAGTCTAGCAGGGCTAGCCAGTCAAAACGGTGGATGGAAAGAAGAACCCTGAATGGTGACTCCATGTGGAACCGATCAAGGGGCACGTACTGATTCAGTCTGTCTAGGTTCAAAACTGGACGCCTGCCACTTGTAGATTTGGTACTACGAACACATTTGGGTAGAAGCCTGGACTTAGTTCCGGCTGATGTACCCTGTGTATGGCGTCTTTCCCCAGCAAACTACTACTTCCTGTCTGATTGAGTCCCATGGCAGTGCCCAACAGGGGAGACACTGACGGGGGGAAATGGAGATTTCAGCGGTATTCCGTAACAGGTTGTCACCACCTGGAAAGGTCCAGGGATCGGTCACCCGCTGTCTCCAAACCGTAATACACCGGCGCAATCCGTGTACGACAGGGATATGTGGCCATGTGTTCGGCAGTTGCGAGGGGGGGGGGGGTGCTCCCTTCCCCATGAGGTGAGTTCCCCAAGGCCTGAAGTAGTCACTAAGTTGTGACCTGGCCACTCACCGAACACGTGCCTGTC